CAATAGTTCAAACGTTGGCCCGATTAAAGTTGAAGGCTCTGAGTTGAAGGTAAAACTGGGAAAAATTTGGTAAAAGTTTGGGAGGGATAATTGGATAAAAGATGGTCGAAGTTGCTCAAAGTTATGAAATGGTTCGCAATTTTAACAATTTTAAAGCTTTTGTTACGTTTGCGACGAAAAATTTTGAATTTGCTTCTGTTAGTACGGAAAATTTTTTGGACTATTTTTATGTTAGTCTGGAAAATCCCCCCCCCCCTAGTCGATATATCGCCCCCGGTAGGCGAAAGTCCTAGGTATTTCGCCCCCCCCCCCCCTTAGGAAATTTGCCCCCCTTTAGAAGCTTCACCTTTTCTTTAGGATTTTCGTCCTCCGTTCAAAATTTCGCCCTTCCTAACAGTTGCATGGGATAATTATTACATGACTTTAATCATTTGAAATCAGTATCAATTCAAAATTGTTAAGACAGAGCTTGAAATAACAACCGATCACGGATCAATGATTGGCAAGGAATTGCTTATGATCGGCGGAAAAGCAGGGTTTCGGTTTCCAACCTGAAAAAAGCAAGGAAAGTCATGACTGCCGATCACCATGATCGGGAACTTTTGGAACGTTATTTCAAGCCCTGTAAGAATACAAATTAATTATTGGTATTGTTTTGCATCCACGTTTTGTCGTTATCGGATAATGTATGGCTTACAAGTTACAAGTTGTATACAAGTTACATACGTTTCAAAAAAGACAAAAAAGCTTTTAGTTTTGCAGAGTTTATATATTCTGAAATCTTTACAAGAATCAAGATTACATCCAGGGCCGCCCAGAGGTTGGCGGGGGCCCGGGGCAAATTTTGTTTAGGGGCCCCTATCTAAAATAATTTTCCCGGAAATTTTTTTTACCGGATAACAACCTCCCCCCCAGTTGTTAGCAAGAGATTACTGTGGCGGCTAAAATTGATAAAATCTATTGATAAAAGCAAGCGATTGTTTAAAAGACCATTTTATAATATGTTATTGATATTATTATAAGTGACGTAAACATGCAATGATTGAATGGCTATAGTATATAAGTAGCCATCTTCTCTCCTGTTTTGAGAAAAGAGAAAACCAGCAACACAGCCAAGACAACACAACAACGTCACAAACTCACAATCGCGACCTTACATGATTTTATGCGATCTCTGTGGGCAATGGTTCCACTTTAGATGTGTAGAATATGAACTAGTCTAAGTACCTCAAATGAGTGGTTATGCCGACTCTCCACCAGCTGCTATTAAAGAAGCCTAAAATGTGTATGTAATTTTGTCTCCTTGTAATGAATAAATAAATCACACAATAAATCTTTTCAACGTGCAATCGTTTTGTTTTTAGATCAAAAATTCAAAATTTATATGGGGAGGGGGGGCGGAATTCCTAAAGGAGGGTGATACTCCTAGGAGATTCGCCCCCCTGGGGGCGATATTCCTAGGAGATTCGCCCCGGGGGCGAATATCCTAGGAATATCGCCCCCTTTTGAGAGGTGGGGCGAATCTCCGGGGGCGGGCGAATCTCCTGTGACACCGGTCCTTAAATTCCCCAGGGCCAGGGAGATATATTACCTTAGGAAATTTGGGCCACCTTTAAGACCGAACAAATATACGCAATTTATGAAACTGAATCTCTCTTATACACATATTTGACCAATCTATAAGAAGTCTCAGTCCCAAGAAAATAATGATGGCAAAATCGGCAAAACTTTGGCGATTAGCGTCAGGGGCTCAAATTCCTGACACGTGGGTACGTGGCTCATGGTTACCGAAAAAACAAGTGGTTGTACTTTATATCATTTAGTTCACTGTAGTTGCAATATTTATTACATAAGGAATGTGAAATAAATCAGGGGCGTTAATTAAGCTGAATCGAAGATATAATAAATCTACAGCGCAGTGTTTTTATTTAATGTAAATAAAATCTACTGTTTGCGTTCAGTTGGTTTGGTCACATGTCTGAATCATACGAGATTTTTGTCCCGGTTAATGAACACGATCAGTGTCAATTACCAATATAACAAGACGCCTACTCAGGCATTCACACTGACCTGAAAATGATGACATGAGCGATGACAAGACAGACGGCTCCAGGTTCGCAGCTCCAGGTTCGCGAACCTGGAGCAGCTCCAGGTTCGCGAACCTGGAGCCAGCTCCAGGTTCGATTTCAACCTGGAGCTGGAACGACTAGTTTGTAAATAAACTGCTTTGGCTGCTTAACCACTAAGGGAAATCCATTTTTTTTGAAAGACCATTTTTACTTGTTATATTCCTTAGTACGTGAGGGAAAATGAAGACATTATTCCGTTCCATTCGTCCACAGTAGCTTGTGAAAGATCACTGTTTTTTCTGACAAAGGGGCTGGTCAGCGGTGGGATAGATCGCCAAGCTCGTTTAAAACCTTATTTTTTTACCTTTACAACGAAAAACTTAAAATTTTGATTGATGACCATTCTAGAGAATGTATTCAAAAGTAATTACAAGCGGTTAACTTATTTCCACATCGCGAAACCGCGATAAATAACTCGCGCAAAGTTGAACCGTCTAATTTGACGCACCGCCCGGTTGTGTTAATTCTATCCTTCCGTGAACACAACAACTTTGGTATGCGTAAATTTACGCTCTAGAGGAGTAAGATACTGATATGTTAATGACATAATATTATTTTTTGCGCTTTTCTGAAGAATTAACGATATAAACATATTTAATTTCCGAAACACACAACGCAAACAAGATCGCTAAAGATGGTGTTATTATGCGGCTCAAGTCGCCGAAAGACCATAACATGTCAAATACGTCTAGCATCGTCTAAATTGCTTCGCAAATTTCTTGCTAATTTCGCCCTGCAACGATTTTTTAAAAGATGACCCTTCTAGACTAATATTCATACTATCATATTTTACAGCATATGAGGCTTTAGGATATATATCCACCATGAGCAACTCATGAGAACGTTACCGACATAAGAAATAAACTTTCAAGAGATGTGAAATATTAGGCGTAAACAATAATGCAAGTCCTCTGGCACGTGCCGGACATTTGATAATCTCAGGGGAAAACCGTAACTATAATGTCGACATGCA